AGGGTTTAGGGTTTAGGCTGCAACCCAACAAGGCCAAGAAGCCATCAAACAAGTCATCAGAAAGGTGTGCCTTTGCGATAGACAACAGGGTTTCGGGCTTTTGGTTGTCGCGATCTGGCTGGGAGGTCCACGGTTATGTACTATGGCTTGACCGTCATATTTCGTGGATTGTCAGGCATACTGAGACGACCATTGCGAACAGAAAGGCCGTTGCAGCGATGATGACTACTGACTAATTAGGTTGAATGTTCGCCTTTTGAAACGATGCTTAAGCTTCAAAAGTGGAGAAAACGTTAGTGACACTCGACTCGTCATGCCAAGGCGTGACTGATCGAAGCCTGCCACGTGGAGCTCGGGAGTGAGGTTAAGGGGGTCGTGGCATGGGCTCCTTGTGCTCATGTGCTTGAGAGACCGTTTAGGATTTACAATGATGAAATAGAAGGTACAACCTTTCGTTTGGGGGGTTTCGGTATTATTTTTTTGCGTATGTGGTGACATGTCACGTGCATTCACCGCCCGTCATGAGTCACTACCATACGAGCGTCGACAAATCAACACTAGCAGAATACGAGAAAACATCTCATTTCGAGTTCAAGGTCCTGCAAGGTTTTCGAGCGCAAAAACGTTCGAGTTTCCAAGGCGTACGAGGGACTCACAAAACTCTAAGTCCTAAACCCTAGCCCTGAACACCCATCCCAAACCCTTAATCGTCTATACTGGCAGGTTTCAGGCAGGGGTTGTCAGCAAGATAACACGTCTCGGATGTGTAGAACTCGACAGATTAGATTCTCTACCTAGGTAGACGCAAAACCCTGAAACTCTCGTACCTACGGAATGCGACGAACTCGCTGCGGTCGTTGCGTAAATCGAACTTTGAGTTGAGCTTAGCATTCATGACTCCTGAAGGCGAACCTTCAGATATGCCTTCAGGATTACGGACACAAGCTAAACCTAAACCTGACTAGCACAGACTAAACCTAAACCCTACACTCTAAAATCCAATCCCTAAACCCTATAAAAAGAGACCCAAACCCTGAACCCTTGCCGCTTGAGCTGGGAAATCCCCCCAGAGTCGGTCAAGACACTCCGCGCGAGCAAATTGACAGATCGCCAGGCTCTGTAGCAGCATCCTTGGCTCCACGTAGAGCCCAGATGTTACTTGGAGGATCATGGGAC